ACCAGCCTCTCTCAACAGACCAGCCTCTCTCAACAGACCAGCCTCTCTCAACAGACCAGCCTCTCTCAACATACCAGCCTCTCTCAACATATCAGCCTCTGTCAACAGACCAGCCTCTCAACATATCAGTCTCTCTCAACAGACCAGTCTTACCTTACAAGGCACCAGCATCTGTCAACTGACAAATCGTAAAGGCACCAGTAACTCACAAGAGACCAGTCTCTCTCAGCAGACCAGTCGTAATATACAAAACACCAATTTCTCTCAACTGACCAATCTTACCCTCCAAGATACCAGCCTCTCTCAACACACCAGTCTTACCATACAAGACACCAGCCTTTCTCAACAGATCAGTCGTAACATACAATAGACCAGCCTCACATAACAGACATTAGACACCAACCTCTCTCAAAAAGACCAGCCTTACCATACAAGAGACCAGCCGATCTCAAAAGACCAGTCAGACCTATCAAGAATTCAAAGCGACAGATATTCGTGCACTGCAGTACAAGCCTGATGCTACTGTCTACTTCAAAGTGAATTAGCAGATAGCTGGCAATCGCTAAGCTAGGGTTGTAAGATTAAGGTCTCATCTGTAGCCCCTGTCAAGTTGTACAAGACCAGAAAAAAAGATAAAAGCTGTCATATTTGAGCACCTAAAAGCATGTCATAAACACACCTTTTTATGATGATTTCCATGATTTTAATGATTTTTAATATGTTGCCATTTTAATTTTTCTTTAAGTGACGTTTATTCAAAGAATAAATTTTAAAAATAAACACATCTTTGTGTGTTACATTCATGTAAAATAAGTAAACATTAAGTCATTATTAATGTGATTAGTGTGTTATGTCTCATTCATAATATATATGACAATACGGTTTCTGTTTTTACTATTATAATTCTACAAACCCAGCACCCACCAGGTTTAGTAAAATAAACTGTGAGAATAGAAAGATGTAATAAATAAAGCATAACCTTCAACAGTTAACAAGTCTAGTGCTAAATACAGACCTAATGAATACAGTCGAAAGCGATAAAGCCATACTAAAATATCTCTACTAAAAATTAAACTGACCCCATAAGGTAGAATAAACTCAAAAAATTAAAATATAAGCCCAAAACTATAATCAAAATATTATGAAGTGTTAATTATAACTTAAAAAACATAAACATAACTAAATCACGTTCATTGGACAAAACGAACGAACGCGGCTGAGACCGAAATTCTCGGCTCAAAACAGCTAAGTCTGCGCGCGCACAGATAGACGGTTTGCACCGAGAATTTTAGACTGAGCAAACC